CCAGCCTCGAAGGCAGGCCGCCCAAGAGCCCCTCCGTCCTGGCTGCCTGGTTCTGCTTCCCTCTTCTTTAGCCGCCCCGGGAGGGCGCGGGGGACCCTCGAGGCCGACGCGGCAGGCGTCGGCCCGGCGAGCGAGGCCCGTGCTCCTCCTGCGAGGCGCCGTGGCGCGCCTCTCGACCCGCGTGCTCGGAGCGCCCGTCTGGAGACGGGAGGGAGGGGAGGCTCCGCGGGAAGCCGTTTGCCGCCGCGTTGTGCAAACAGGACGTTAACGCGGCTGTATGCCTTGGTGGAGCTCTTACGTGCGCTACGCGCCAGCCTGTTACCTTTCCAGTCCTGTCGTTTTCCAGACGAGGGCATTTCCAGAGACAGCCGTGGGTGAGCGCAGGCACCTTCCTGCTGGCTTGTCTCATCGCAGACGGACCCCTGCTGAGGGGAGTTGAAGCTCCGCTACGTAAGGTCTCCTGGACCATTAAGCGTGCTGTGAGGTTTAGAACAGGCTGGCAAGGTTGTCTCGGGTGCTCTTATCCTTGGTTTGTTTGGCTGTAAAATGATTTTATATCGAAAGACTATTTCAGTGACTTGGAGCTACTTATTCCCTAGAAGGTGCCAATGAGGGAGCTCAGCCTGACAATATATAGGTATGAGAGACAAATTTATAAAGTAGGGAGGTGAGTGAAGCCTTCAAGATAAGAGTGAAGGTAATGTAAGGAAAGAAAGAAGAGAGGGCAGGGACAGGAGACAGCAGTAGACATCACAAATGCATGTGTGTGCATGGGGAAATCCAAACCCTTGCTCCTTTTAAGTTGGAAAGAGGATAAAGGAGAAGTTCAGGAATATCGCGTTGATCCTAAATGCTGGTTCGAAGCCTGTCCAGTAGTACTGCAGTTATGTACACCACTTGATTCACTCCCTTTTAAATGCAAGGACATGACAGGATAACTTGACTTTGACTAGAAGATTCAGCCTTCAAGCATTGGAAAAAAGTTGCTCTATCTTAGTGGCTGTGTAGCTGCTGCACTATGAGCTGGAGTCTGTCTCGCTTTTGTGTTGTGGTTCATGCAAACTTTCTCCCCTGAATAGTGCCTCATTTACTCTTCTCTTTTGCCATGCCCTTACTGGAAAAGAGCCAGTTATCTTCAGCTTCTTCCCTGCTTTCCCCTTTGCTTGAAAGGGACTATATATATATATATATATGTATATGTATATATATATATATATATGTGTGTGTATATATATATATATCTCCACCAAACACCCAGGGCCTCAAAGTTCATTGGCAAAAGCAGTTCATTAGTACTATATCCCTGCTGTTCAAGGAGTATATTAAAAGCATGAAGTGTGTTAGCAGAGAAATGGCAGGGAGGGAAAAGAAAGACAGTTGGAAGCTGACTAGAGGTGTCTCACTTGAAAGAACTGTGACTTGGTTTTATGTCATCTTGCATTTTTAATGATGCATTAAAAAAGAAGATTGTTGACCTTTTGCTGCAGTGAAATTGAGGCTGAAATGCTGTCCAGCCTTATTGCCTCTTTATTTTTTTTCTCGGCTGTGCAAGGGGATTTTTCTCTCCGTAGTGCATGAGGTGATGCACGATACAGAGGATTCCTGAGAGAATATGAGCTGTATTACCTTTTGCACTGAAAACCCTCAAGCTTTTTAATGTCCTTTATTTTGTATCCTTTGATACAAAGGATATCCGCCTTTGCATGTTGCGGCCCAAATTGTGCAAGAAAGGTCTCTGAGAAGGAAGGATACTAAATGGCTGTGCGTTCCAGGCTAACCTGTAAGTAGGTATAGGCCATAGGCGTTTGGAGGGTCGGAGTGTGTTGGAGATCCTGCAAAGGTTGTGGGGAAGGTTTGGCACCCTAACGTGGAAACACGGGACAGAAGAACATAACTCACCATTGAAAACAATTCTAAAAGATGTTTTATAAATTGCTGGGCTAGTCTCAGTAAACATTTTGCTTGTATCAGTATCTGTCTGTAACCAGGAGTGGAAACAAGGACAAGCGCTGGAAACTTTCCTCAAAATGCCCCAGCAGTGAATGCAGGACTCTTCCTGGGGGCTTGGTTCCAGCCCAGAAGTTTTCATGTTCTCTGTTCTGACTGAATTAGACTCACTGTGTTTAAATTCATGTAATTTATAAGAAATGGGAACTGGGAGACTTGAGCTGCAGCTTAGACCTTACCTAAAGTCTGGATTCACTGAAATGATTCTTCTAACTCCCTAAATATTGCAGAGCTTTTCTGTTGTTTCACTCCTTGAGAGAAGAAGGCATGCTGTTTCTAGAAATTTAGGATGATACTCTTGAAAGAGTGGTTTTCAAATGTTTCGGCTGAAAAATGTGCTCCTTACCTCTTATAAACAAGAGCAGCCCGTGTGTGGAGTGTTAGTCGTTTGCGTGTGGTGGTGTTCCTGGTTTTTGTTAAGAGGCTGACTTGAAAAAACTTTCAGTTTTGTTTTTAACGGTTCTGAGTTGCTTGTAGGCTTTTATCTAGAAGGAGAACAAAAACCCTTTATTTTAAGAGTAAAGGGGAAATCTTGGTAACTTTGTATTCATAAAGGTAATATTCTAACTCTTGTTAGCACAGAAAACCAGTGTCCTCAGTACTAACAAGAAATAAGAAGTATTCCTTTATCCCATGCTGGAAAGCCGGGAAGAGGAGGGGAGAGCCTTCACTAAGGGAAGCTGGAGCTCAGCCCCCTTATTTCTCTGGCTATTTCTGCTGCTGTTTCTGTACCACTGGTTTTCTTTTCCTGCTGTTGTTATTGTGCCCGCTCTTTTTTGAGCAAGCGCAAGAGAGCAAACGAAGCGCCCAGTGTAACACAACATATGCAACTACCTTTGGACATCAGTAGCTTACTCTGTTTTCTTGTTTTAATTTCAGTACAATGTTAGAAATCTATCCCTTCTCTGCAATGCTGGCACTGAGTAAACCCTGTTAAGAGGAGAACGCTTCAGGAGAGAATTTCAGGAAATTCAAATCCCTCCCCACCTCCTTGTCTCTTCCCCCCCGCTCATCGTGAGGGCTGTACAGAACTGGACAGCAATCATTATAGCCTGGGAAGTGATGTCACTGCATTGTCTTGCAAGTGCCCTAATATACACGTGGTTTTCCAGGTATGCATTTTCTTTCTCTCTTTCAGCGTCAACGCCTGTGTAGATGTTGTCCTGTCTGGTGTGAAGCTATTAGAGGCACTTGGTCTTGATCCTGGGGATGGAAAAAATCATGCTGTCTTGAACTCCAGCCAGGACCTGAAGGAAGCATTCACTTACTTCATGCAAAAAGGGGCAGCTGCTGAGCGCTTCTTCAGTGACGCGGAGTCTTTCCATGACATAGCGCAGACAGCCTCTGAGTACCCTGATGCGCAGGTATGTTTTCCAACTGCAGATAGGTTTGACAAGTAAGGTTCTTAGTTTCTGCCTCTTTGGTGACTCTTGTTCCTCTAACGAGAGCGCAAATCACTTTGGGGGGGGGGAGGGGGGGAAACCTGTGCTGTTGCTTGAGTGTGTTAATGACTTTACACAGAACTCTCCTTCTGCAGCTACCCCAAACAGTAGGGTTTTGGACAGTTTATCATTTGCTTGTTTTCCTAAAACTGAAATGCATGCTTTTGGCTCTGGCAATTCAAGATGCTTCCATAAGAACACTGAAGAGATTGAAGCATTGAAGCCAGATGGGCCTGATGCCACTCTAACTTGTAATGAGGCAGGCAGGAAGGAAATAGATTGAAGCATTAGGAGCTGTAAACACTCCTGTAAACTTTGGCTCATAATGCAGGATTTGAATTCTCTCTAGAAGTAGAGGTGATGAAAAGCAATTAAAAATCTTTCTGAAGCCTCCTTTTGCAAAAGCAAAGTTCTGTTGCTCTAATTTACGTTGGGTGTTCTGAAGTACTGGCTTGATATCTACTTGGTAGTTAGCTCATTTCTACGAGCTGCTTAATGCTACTTTATATGCAGTTTGCCAGCTGCTTTTGAGAGTCAGGAAGAGCTCCTTTTATTGGTCAAAGTTTTCCTGTGTTGCCTTGTTTCTCACTGTATTTGCTACATTGACTTTCTGGAATCGTTTGATTATTAGCTGTAATCTTCTATGTCCTGTTTTCTGTCACTCCTCAATATAGTCACATAGACCTTTTTGATTGATTAGTTAAATTCCTCGTTCTTTTCTCAGCCATTTCAGCACCTCTGATCCTCATGATGATCTTTATTTCTGGGTTTCAGAGCTCATGTAGGAGTTTTCTTATTTGTAAGTTTGAACTTTCTCACCTGAAAAAACTTTCAAGGTTCTGCTCACTTTATGTGAGCACAGGTGGTAGGGTCAACACTGATCTCAAGCTGGGTGAAATATTGTTACAGTTCTAAAGGATTGCTTGACAGCCTTGCAAACAAAAATAACTTACAAATTGCCGAAAACAAGTTACATAGAAGTATGGACTGTTTATATTATGAATGAGTTGACTTGTACAGGATTGCAAGTTACCTGAAAGCAAATAATTCCATTTAAAAAAAAAAAGACAAAACTGAAATTGTTAAGAATAGATCTGACAAGGAATTGTAAAATGATTTTGCCTTCAGCCCCAGTAAACTTCATTAATTTCTCTGATGCTAGAACTTTGTCTTAAATGCTAAAATCTTGAGCCTATACTGAGCACTAAGCGTGTATAAAGCTATCAAAGCGAAGGGATGCTCATATCTGCCTGATCTGTTTTACAGCTTTATGTAGGAGGAAATGCTGCTCTTATTGGTCAGAAGCTTGCGGCAAATCCAGAGCTGAAGGTAAGTGAATAGTATGAAGTTTCTGGAACACTTGTCTTTAATGAGATTGTGGAGATCTTGCAGTCCAATCTATTTTTCGGGGTGTGGTTGAACAAGACAGTTGAACCAGTTGAATGGTTCATTGCCTCTGAAAGGTAGTTTGATGCCTGCCTTTGTGTCACCACTAGGCTTGTTGCAACTTCCACAGACCTGACTGAGCTCCCGAAATCGTTTGTGGGTGTGGTGGTTTTTTTTTTTTTTGGAACAAAACAAAACTCTGCTTTTTTTTTTTTTTTTTTTTTAAAAACAAGGCTAATCAGTTGTATCCTCTCAGTTTAGTGAGAGCTGAACTGACTCACCAAAGGGTCAGATGAGTGCCAGAGCTGATTGTAAGGGAACGTGGGGCCAGAAAACGAGGTCGATATGAGACTGCCTCTTTCAGTGACAGTCATTACATCACCTCAAGGCCCACCTTGTCAAACTCAGTACTTGAATGGGGTTTCATGATTAGTAGAAGCCTCCAGAGTTCTCTAGTTCAAACTCTTGCTCAGAACAAGACCATCAGCAACATTAAATTTGAGCTCAGGCTGTCAGCAAAGGGCAATCCAGTCTTATTCTCAGCTGCCTGCTCTACCTCCTCTGTTCTGATGGTGCTAGTATCTGGTCTGACTGAAAACTATTTTTTGGACAGATTAGTTTTCCGTAGGATCAGATTCTCGTTCTTGTATGCTGCAGGACTGCACAAATGCAAATGTCCCTCTAGGAGGTGGCAAGAACACGCGGGGAGAGGGCAGGCTGCCCTACTGGGCAGCTGTACCTAGCTATCTTATCTTATACTTCAACAACAGCAGTTGTAGTGGCAAAAGCTGGGCTGGCACAACTGCTAGCTTTTTAAGGTTCACAAACTCAAAAGCCGTAGCTGATTTGTGTTTTGTTTTTTAATTATTTTTATTTAATCTATTGTCTAGGTAGTGGTATCTTGTTTATTGCTCCCTCTGAGTTACAGGGAGACTAGTTCTCTAGTCTCTCTAATAAACCAAATATGCATCCCTGTATGGTCTTGAGCCTTGTGGTGGTGATGTTGTTTTCTAGATCCTCCTTTGTGGCCCAGTTGGTCCTAAACTTCATGAACTACTTGATGACAACGTAGTTGTGCCACCTGAATCTATGCAGGAAAGAGACGAATTCCATCTTATCTTGGAGTATCAAGCAGGTACTTTGCCAAAGGCTGAACGTTAGACAGGAGCCCTGAACATCACTAAGATTATTTGTGGTTGTAAAGTTTGTTTGTGGGTTTTTTTTAAACTTCCTCTGAATCAGTTAACTTCTACTGTATTTCTGGAATTATCAATATTAGTAGCTGCCACTGGGCTAGTCTGATAATTCTGTGTACTTTAGAGAGCTGTGGTAGGGAAACAGACATCTTAAGCTCTTTTGAAACTTTTTTCTTTTGTAATACAGTTACTGTAAATACTGAATCATGCTGCTCCATTGCCATCCCTTTGGTTCTGTATCCTTGTATGCTATAACCTATAGAAGGCAAGTGGACTTTTCACTACATTGTGGTAGATCTCATTAGAATGAAGTACATATGCTAGAGCAAACCAGATGGTATAATTCTAAAGCTATATTAACACTAAAATGGTCTAGTAGTGTTCTCTGAAAATAGAGAGAACCATTTAACTGCATGCAGATGTAATTCAGGGTAACCCTAATGTAATGGCTAAAATAAACGTGCATGTGTTTTCTTGCTGTTTTTTAACCTGAAGCATTTCACAGATCCTGTCTCAAAACACAGCTTCAGAAATAGTTATATTGGTGTGACAGAAGAGGGAGTATTTGACAAGGAGGGAAGGCAGGAACCACTTTAAAAACTAACATGGAGCAGCGCCCCGTGTCCACTTAGGGCTGCTGGCCAAGGCTAGTTTATTACAACTGACAAGTGCTGTTGCACAGTAGCCAATGTAAAATTCATTAAGATGAAGTAAATCTTACTCTTCTGGCTCCTGGAAGCATCCTCATTGGAAGATATACCAATATATGATGTCACCTTTTCTCAGCATCTCTGTTCACAAGTGAGAACTGGCCTCTTAATGAAGCCATGTTGTGAGAAGCAGTTAAGTTGGGGATCTGTGTTGTCAGTTTTTGTTTTTAGTTCTCCCCCCCCCCCCCCCCCCAAGAGGAGGCAGTGCTGTCGCTTTTGATGCGACACTGGTCGTGTTCTCTGCAGTGTAAGCAATACACAGTCTAGGAGAGCTGAGTGAACAAGCACGCGTGCTGCTTCTAGGGTGGAGATTGTCCACAGTAACCTCAAAAATGCTTGTGTTTCAACAATTTCTGTTCAGAAGTATTTCATCTATTAAAATCATAAGTAGAAAAAAAATGCTTCAGTCATGTTATGTTACTTTTCTGCATTCGCTACCTCTCCAAGGCTGCCCTCGTAATCTCTGTTTATTTATTCCCTTACATTTCTTTTTGCCCATTTATCATAACGGGCACAGGCGATTGTTTACTGTCTGATTATAGATGCCCATAGGGATGGGGAGAGCTGACGCAGGGCTGACCAGCTGGACTGTGACTTCTGTAACTTGTAGCCTCTTTAGGCTTGCTATTGCTACTCTGTTCTCTCATGGCTCAGAGTCCTGGAGATGGAGCCCTAGAAAGAGTTTGTTTCATTTGTGATCTTATCCAGGAATAAAGCAGAGTTTATGCACTGAGCACTGATCCAACCCTATTCTGCAGATCATTTTTGGGAGCTGCCCAGTCAGGAATAGTAAGAGCCATGAGTGTTGTTCAGGGTATATTTTCATGATACAGTGTGAGTCAAACTATCAGATTGTTGTTGCCAAAAAGGGAGGAGGGGGGGTCTCCTCTCTCTTTCGCATATTCTGCATGCTCCAACTGTTTAGCTTGAGCTGGCTGTGATGCTTACCTAACTGCATGGCAAACTAATACAGTAACTGATTAAAACAGCAGAAAGCTAACCTGGCAAAAACAAATAAACAAATATTGAATTTACCTTATGATCATACAAGCCTCTGAACAAGGCAGAGGGAGCGAACGAAGAGAATGAATGGGAAAGGATGTAAAAAGAGAAAAGACTTCTCTCCTTGCTGGTAGTAGGCAGCGGTTAATTTGTGAAGTTTCACGTTGTGAACACATGGCTTCAGATTCCAGCAGGATATCCCAAAATAAACTCTAGATATGCGATTTGATTCGGTTCTCTCACAAAGTTGATTTCCTTCTCTTTGCCTCTGGCTAGGTGAAGAGTGGGGACAAGTGAAAGCACCCAATGCCAACCGCTTCATCTTCTCCCATGACGTATCAAATGGCGCCTTAAATATGCTGGAAGTGTTTGTGTCTAGCTTGGATGAATTTCAGCCAGATCTTGTGGTACTCTCAGGACTTCACATGATGGAGGGCCAGAGCAAGGAGATGCGACAGAGACGACTTCTGGAGGTAAGATACTTAAACACCAGTGTTTCCTTAATTTTCATTCCAACAAACACTTCATGGGAAACTCTTGGTTTTCCAGGTTTGAACTTGAAATTAGGTTGTGTCTTCAGATCTCCCACAAATCTTCTCACTATTGCATGCTAAAAGAAGAACACGAACTGTAGGAATGGCAAATGTATAATCCTATAACACTAATGTCTCTTGGTTTCAGGGGAGATGCAGGGGGGGGGGGGGGGGGGACACTCTGGTTGTCTGGTTGGGGTAGACTTACCTAGTTACCGGAGCTTATCCAGTGGCTGAATTGCACTTTTTCTATCCCAGATACTAAGACGATCAAGGCTGTAATCAAGACTTCTATTTTTTTTTTTTTTTTCAAGCAGCATCTACATTAGATAATCCAAGAGGGAGTCTCCTTATTTGAGCCCAAATGAGCTACACTGAGTTCTTCCTTATTTACAGACCTTTGCCTATCTTTCAGCTGAGTGCCCTTCTTGACTCAATGAGGTTTGTGAGGTCTTTGATTTAATCTGTTAGGAAAAATACTGAGCTGGGTGCAGATTAGGGTTAGATGTAGTTTTCCTGTTCTGTGATTCTGAATGCTGATCGTTGTTTTTATTTCTTTCTTTTAGCAGTACGTTCTGGCACTTGTCAGAAATCTCATTTAGAATCCTGATTAAATCCATATATGGGAAGATTAAACAACAAGTATCTCTGAGCCAAAACCCCTTTGTCCATTCTGTTTTTTAATGAACATGTGTTTTGGGTTTCTTCCTGCAGGCTGTGGCCTCCATATCTGATATCCCTACTGACATTCCCATACACCTGGAATTGGCCAGTATGACTGATCAGGATCTTATGAGCAACATTATGCATCAGGTAACCAAAATGATAGAACATGCTCTTTTATCAGTTACCTTTTCTGCAGTATCACAGTGCACAACTGGTAGATGATTATATGAATGAAAACTTAGAATTAGGGTATCCTGTTGGAGAGAAACGGTGAACATGGGTTTAATGTCTGCTGCTGTTGCTTTCTGAACACTTGGGTTTCCTCTGCTAAGGTTATCAGTCTCCCCTGCAGCAAAGGAGAGCTGTAATGGCTTGCGACTTAGCAGAGGACAGATTGTTTTCTTTAGCTCAGAGAGGGTATTCCTTTTTCAAAAGTCTCCATGGGAAGTTCCAGTTTCACGGCATTGTACAATTTGATGGCCCTCACTCAACTGATCATCAGGCCATTCTCAGCAAGAAGTGAAGACTTTTTGCAAATCTGAAAGTATTCAGCAGCTGTATTCAGTAGACTTACCATACAGATATGGGTGCAATCTGTTTCTCTGATATGAAGAGAGTTTTTGGCAATCATAGAGGGGAAGCAGACCCAAGAGAATACTTACAACTTCAGAGACAAGTAACCTCATTTGGTTTGGATTTAGCAGGCTTGCCATTTTCTAGGAGAACAAGGATTTGAATTAGAGCTGAGTTTTTAATTCAAAACTCAAATTTTGTGCACAATTTCTTTCCTGCAGATCCTGATGGTCCCCTGTTTAACCTGTCACGTTCTTATCTCAGTGTTAGGAGAGTTTCTTGTAGCTCTGATGTTCTGTTACTTGTTAATGTCAAAATGTGTATCTGGAAAATTAATTACACAAAATGAGCATGCATCCTTGGCATTCAACGTTTCCTGCCCAAGTAACTTTTGTACACTTTGTACCTGCATCCTACTGGGAAACTGGGTGCGCCCTTCTGCTGAGCATACTGGTGATAGAGCCCTGGTGTCACGTGCATACAGTAGTCAACACGCTAATGCAGCATTGTAAAAACCACAGCCTGAATTAGGCACACAGAGGTCTGATTCTGCGTCTGAAGGAAAAACTGTTCCTGTATTTCTGTTAGCAGGTCTTTCCCCTGGTGAACTCTATTGGGCTGAATGAACAGGAGCTGCTGTTCCTCACGCAGTCTGCCTCTGGTCCCCACGCCTCCCTCACTTCCTGGAATGGAGTTCCCGACGTGGGTGTCGTCAGTGACATCCTCTTCTGGATCCTGAAGGAGCACGGGAGAACCACGGACAGGGCCTCTGATCTCACGCGGATTCACTTCCACACCCTGGCCTATCATATCCTTGCTACAGTGGACGGGTACTGGGGCAACCAGATTGCTGCTGTGGCTGCTGGAGCTAGAGCAGCAGGGATGCAGGCCTGTGCAACTGAAGCCATTGATACCAGCAAAGTCTTTCTTAAAGCTCCTCTGGAGTTTGTGACCTCCCAGACAGAGACACCCTCCAAAATATCTTTAAACCCAGATGAGCCAGTAGTGCATTGGCACAGAGAAGGCATCTCATTCCACTTCACTCCTGTTTTGGTGTGTAAAGATCCCGTCCGGACTGTAGGACTCGGGGATGCTATTTCAGCTGAAGGACTACTATATTCAGAAGTATATCCTCAATAGAAGACTAAGACCCTCCTTTTTCTCCGATACTGTATGGTGTCTGAGGAATCATGGTGTTCTCATTAGGATTTCGGCCAGTGGTGGTATAGGAATAGAATTAGGGTGTGATGCATTTCCTGGATATAACTGAAAAAGAGCCAAAGAATAATTCCAGGTATAATAAGCTGTCAGACACATTCCAGTCACTTGGCAGTGACTTGAACATTTCACATTTAAGTGCAGAGGTTTTTGTATTTTAAAGCAAAGACTGGCTTTTCTTTGTCTTAAGCGTGTGGGGGGGAAATGAGTATCCAAATCCCTGTTCGGAGTAGGCTTGCTGTTTGTAACCGTGAATGGGTCTTCTCCGTTAGTGCTTGAGAGTATAGCAGCCAGGAGACTTTCTTGATTATGAATCCCAGGGAGAACGCAGCAGTCCTTGGCCCTGTCTTGCTTTTGATAAAGTAAAAATAAAAGGCTCTTGCATTATCTCCTCATGGCACATTGCTACAGGGCAAGAGCAAACCTTCTGCTTGCTTGATGCGATGATGAAATCTCTTACTGACAAATTACCTCTCAACCTCAGTGCCCCCAGCACTGGAGGGAGCCAGAGTCCTGAAATGTGATGCACACCGTACCTACTCCTTAAATGCACAGAGAAAATCTGACTCAAGACTACAAAGATCGCTCTGGGTAGCTATCTGGTTGTCTCTGTGACTTACAGTATTCAACTGAGCCCTAGTAGCCTGCGGTTAGGTTTTTTTGGGCAAATAAAAGTGAAGATAATCAGGGTTTATATTTGGGCGAACAGCTTTATTTACTTGCCAGGTGAATCCTAAAACTTTACCTGGGTTAGCTATCAACTAAATACCAAGAGTTTCAGCCAAAGGGGCTCACGGTTTGCTTTCTTTGCTAACAGTAGGTGCTTATATTTGATCTCTTCCAGCTTACAAAAAAGTTATTAACTGGAGACTAAATTTTTGTTTGAGAACTGTTGTGCAATTTTCCTCTGTTTCCCTGCATTCCATTCCGAAGGGTTAAGTTATTAGGCACGGTCCCTCAGGAGGCTAAAAAGCTGTGGCAGCACCTTCCAGGTAAGATTGAAGTGAAGCTCTTATTTTGGATGAAGTCACTGATAATAGTTTCTTTCAGCCCTGGACAGCCTTTGAAATGAAAACAAATTAGAACTTGTGTGTCTTACCACCTAAATCATGCATAGTCTCATAGCATAACTTGTTTAGGAGTCTTTCTTGTTAAATACATTGTTTATATTTTTTCCTCTGGACAGTAGCACCCTATCAATTGCATAGGATTTTCTGCATAGGATGGATATGAGGATTTTCTGTGTTGTCTGTGTCTCCTTCTAGGAACTTTAATGTATTTGCATAGCTATCATACACATTTTTCAGTATAACTAAATTAAATGCAATCAGCGTATCTATGCAAGCCAGGACCATACTAGGATTTGTATGAGGTCACTTATGGCCAGTCTTTGCATCTGAATGGAGGGGAGTGGTACGGGGTGCATATCACTTTGGCTGGAGTGATCAGTTACAGTACTGCTGTCATATTGCTGTCAGTGATGTTTTCCTGTTGGAAAAAGCCATTGTGAATGCTCTGTAAGGATAAAAATTGACAGCTGTTGTAACTTGTACTGACTTAACACAAAACACCGTCTGCCAACGTAAATTTAACTTCCTCCCCTCTGAGGAAAGTCTGCTCTGTAGTAGCAGAGGAGAGACCCAGTCAGCGTTATGCTTTTCTGTAGCTTAGACCACTCTGATCTTCCCTTGGGTCTTGCCATTTATCTCAATGAGGGATCATCTTAACACTGGAAGTCTTTCTATCCAAACTTATTTTTGATAAATTGTAGCATGGGACTCGGGGCTCTGTTTTAGTCTTTCTAAAGAAACAAAGAAAGAAAAAGGAAAAATAAAATGCTTTGAGCTATCTAGAAGGTCTGAGGCCATTAGCAGGGTTATTTTGCAGCCTTTGATCGTTGCCTTCTGGCACAACACCACTCGAGCCACCAAAGGCCATGCATCCAGCCAGCTGGAGAATTAACTCTTTGCTTATGATAGGTCCCACTTTCTTGACATCGGGCTGAGCTGTGTGGATTCTTGAGCTGGAAACAAAACTAAGCTAAATACACACCAGCTGTTCTGCGCAATGGTCCTGCTGCTGTATTTCATCTCTCACTTCCAAAAACATTTGGTGAGATACTAGGCTTGTTGGACTGTCATTGCCTTAGGGCCACTTAAAATCACGTAACTGCACTAATGGAACCTGTCCAAGGGTAAGTTATGTTTGCTCTTAGCAGGAGTGTTACAGGCCTTTTTTGTTCTTCCCCCCCCCCCCCCCACTAAAAATAAATAACTACTGTAAGTATGAAATAAGTTAATTGCTGAGAGTTCATCTGGGCCTAAAAACTAAACTCTCTGAAATTATTATGAACTCCTTTCCTGTTGTGCCTGTTCTTTCTCACTGGGTAACATTCCTCCTTTGGCCGTCTGTCGGCGTGCTGTGAACGCCCTGGCAGCAAGAGTCACTTCTCAAGTGGAAGTAGCTTGTGAGGGCTAGACTGCTGCTGTATCTGTGTATCTGCTTTGATCAGACATCTCGCCGTCAGGTTGCCTGCTCACCAAATTCACTTAGCGAGGATAAGTCTTCACAAGTGTGACCTGTTAATTGGATATGCTGTTGGTATCCCTGATTAAGTTTTGAAACAATCTATATGATAATAAAACTGAACTGAATGGCAGCACCCAGCAGCCCTTCTTCAATTCATATTTCACATGCTGTGAACCTGATGCGCTTAGCTTCCTTCTGCCTTCCAAACTTAATTAGAAGGGCTGCAGAGTCTCTTGAAAGCCTTCTGCACGTGCAGGCTGTCTGACGCCTACACGCAGTAGCAACAGTGACCCCGAAGCAAGGCTGCTCTGTCTTCAGCAGCCTTTGCTGAACAAGAGACAAGAAAACATATAGTGTGGGGTTTGGGGCGGAGGGGGTGTCATAAGGGGGGGAAAAAACCCTCTAGTGAAATATCTAGCAATTTAGGGGAGACTTATCCCTCAAGGTTGGTGTTTTGACTGTCCCCATGCAGTACCTTTGGTGCTCTTGGGCTCTTTTTTTTTTTTTTTTTTC